CATGATTACTTACTCACACCACTCTCTTTCTAGAATCAAGCAGCATCGGCACAACATCATTTCTACTGAACAAAATCGGAAAAATTTTCCGCCTATAGTCCCAAAATAACCGTGTCAGGTTAGACTCGTTATCGAGAACGAAAACAAAAAAGGTGAAGACACCTTAGACAATGAGTAATTTCATCGGCCTCTCATCGACAAAGATCGTTAAAGTGAGGAAATGAATCTAAGCTTGAAAACGAGAGTGGTGAGGACTGCGATAAGTGGTTACTGTGGTGCACCATAATGATCTTCTATAACAGTACCGATGGTGTGTTTCTATAGAATCTGATTCGATACATAAAACCGAAACATTTTAGTCGGGTTAGATAGAATAGACCCCACTAGATACTAATAAGAGATGGACCAATATTGGGGAAAAAAAACCGTTCCATACACGTAAATATTCGACTTTCTTGAAATATGAACAGTTGGCCTGATACGATTAAAGGATTATCTTTCCTACCGTGCAATTTCTGAACCAACAATAAAGGATAACAATAAAGGTGAGGTTCTACTCTTCCCGATAATTTCTGTTGGGTAAAACTAATATTGAGAGGATGTAAAGATCGCATGTCTCATTCACGCTATGTGAAAGGACGACCTGTATTTAAACATGCTAACATCAGAATCACCGTTATGCGTTCAATGATGCAGGATGAGAAGATTAGGTACAGTAAACACAATGATGCTGAGATATTTACAAAACTACGGACCGCGGATGTTTGCGATGGGGATCGAACACGCTATTACCTTTCCGGGGGCTAACGCGTTCACCACCACACCATGCAGGTCGTTCGTTTGGCCTCTTTTCAGCTAGTTTTCTACATATTCTACCTACTTATCTATATTAGCTACGTTACATCTATATTAGCGCTCGGAAAGGGTAATAGCGGGTTCGGTCCCCACAGCAGACACCAACCATCTGGTGTTTTGCAGATATCTCAGCATCACTGTGGTTGATACTTATTTCGTTGAGCGCAAATAGGGCACAAGAAATCAATCCGTTCCTCACGAAAATCGTTTTTGTGGGAAAGTGTGTGAGATTTAGACGAAGACCAAATCTTCCACAAGCATTTTCAAAAGCGACTGGCATTCATTCCTCCAAGGCAATGTAGGCTCTGGCTGTTCAGAACTTCTATGACTGCTTCTGCCTCGACTGAGAGAAGAGCCTTCCTTAAATCGATGGAAGTGAAAAAGAGCGGTCTTTTGTACTTTTGTGTACCTTCGAAGAGGCCCGTTATCAAGTAAATCTGGTCCACCATACTGACTAACTTTGGAAACCTTGCCTATTCACATGGCTGCCGTTTTTCTAGTTTTCTGTAAATCCTATTTAGGATGATTCTTTTGAAGTTTACAGAGCACATATCAAGCACAATGAGCAACAGTTGTCGATATCGTTGAGGTCACTATTCTTGAACTATAACACAGTGTTACTGGTCTTCCCCTGAAAAGGAACCTTTTATTCTGATAGCTGACGTGTGGACAGCTGAGCCATTGTGTTGATAAGGAATGGCGGAGGGTTTTCCAGGGGTTCAGATCTTACCCTGTCCGGACCTAGTGTTGTTCGGTTTTTCACTGACGTAACAGCATGTCGGATTTCGGAAGGGAGAACAGGTAGTACGACATATCCATCCTCTTTTATTTTATATGAGGGCAAGAGCACGTTGCTATTGAAGAGATATAAACAGTAATCGTGAATGATTTAATCCATTGTCTTTCTGGAAGTCGTAATCGTTCCGTCTGGGTAGCGGAGAGCAATCATCTTGGTACTGTAATCGCTGAACCTTCGGTGGGCTTTGCGAATGCTCTTCCCACCCTCCACAACTTTGGCCATAAGTGCTGTTTGTCTCTGCTTAAGACCTTTCACCCCTGAATGCATTGTTTTGCAAGTTCGGATGTGAGTTAACGGTTCTATGTAGTTTTCGCGATTTCATGATGCCGTATCACCTCGAACGTTTCTACAGATACACGTTTTGTGGTGACCTTCGAACTCTCAGCTTTTTTCATTAGCGCTAACTGAAGATGTTGAATAAACCGATCGTGTTGCTCCTCAGTGTTATCAACAATGGCACCTTCACTAAAGTCGACCAATGATCTAAATAAATCCTAGTGTACAGTGGTTTTAGGACCTCGTTTTTTGAACTTAACGACTTTCTCTTCTTTCTCCGACAAATGGTATCTTGCTTGAAGGATGCGATGATATTATTCTGTGTAGAATTCTAGGTCAATATCAACATCGGTTAGGCAAAACTTTCGACTATGCTGCAGTCTATTTCGTTATAGTACCTTTCATTAGGAGACTTCCACGTCCAACGCTGGAAGCGGGGGTAATAGAATTGTGAATTACCATGAATGGTCATGGTCCTTATGCTAAGCTCAGACAGCAGTTCACGCTGCTCACTCCTTTCTAATCCGTGGCTCCCAAAGTGCCGTTGTTCAGAAGTTCTTTGGGATCCAATCCTAGCGTTAAAATCTTCACACATAACTTTAAACCATATATGGTCTTCTCTGTAGAACTTCTTCAAGTCAGTATAGAACACTTCGACCTCATTTTCGTCATTGTTTGATGTCGGCGTAGATGACGATGATTGGTTAAAGTCGGTGTTGATCCAAATCTCTTCAGCAATGAAAATTCGATTCATTTTGTTAGTTGCTTTAGTTATGACAATGCCGATGTCGTTGACTTCTCTACTGTCGCACACTAAGGCGAATAGTTCTTTTCCAGCACCACAGACAACATTGAATAGCTTGAGTGGCAAGGAAAGAGGATGTGTTGTGCTGTTTTACAATAACGAAAGATACGCATTGATTTCAGTGAAATTTTTGGGAATTATAAATATTGACAGCAATGCGGTTAGCTCGTAGACCATTGTAACATATGTGAATATTAACACATTTGTGCCTCCAGTAACAGGGAAAAGCCTGCCGTTAGCTCGTCACTCAGTGATTAATGCAGTGTTGCAATCGGCCCGTACGTTTCGATCTAGCGAGTTTTTCAACTCTTTGGACCTTCTTCGTGTTCATGGAGTATGAAAGAAGAATCTTATGGTCACGAAATTATCTCTATTATACAGACACTCAACTCAACCTTCTATTTGTATCGAACGATTTGCTTACTTGAACCGTTAAATAAACGAGTTCGGAGTGAGACACAGAAATCACTTAAGTTCAAATCACGTCATGGACTAGAAACTATTAGTTCATGATAACAGCAAGATTACCGGCTTTGAATAAGATATTTCCATCTGAAATTACACCTAAGCTTAAACCAATGCCAGCAAGCTCTAGCAAGACTGCAGAAATTCAGAAATAAACCTTACCAAACTGGTGAGATACCAAATAAACGGAACATTTGCTATGGCCCACAAGATTCATAAAGGCGGACCACCTACAAATCAAGATAAGCGGGATTACTAGTGATCACTTTAAATCAGCAATTCGAAGGTCACCGTTACTGCATATTTTGAGGCTAATGATGTAAGCCAATGAAAACAAACAGGGAAAAGAAACAAAACAAAAATTGCAGCAATGCTAAGAAAAGAAAGAATAAGTTGAAGACGGAGGAAAAATACTAGGTAGTTAAAGCAGCCTATAAATAATAAATCACAGAAACGAGGTAAGTCGACAAGCCAGAAAAATGGAGTAAGGCGAGGAAACGACATAATCATCGTAAACGTTTAAGTGACCCTTCCTTAAAGCCACATGGTAATGTACTGACATGGAAAGTAGCAATACGACGATCTCAAAACCACAAAATACTAGTAGAAAACGTATAAGAACCTGTCATATTTGCTAACTTTTCACGGTTAAATAGAATTTTTGAGACCGATCAATCAGTCATTGTGACCGTATGACAAGGACGCTCCAATTTTACGAAGCCGCACGAATACATGAAAGCAAACCTTGAGATGTCTCTTTACCACTAGCACGTCTCTTCAACTTTCTGGTGCGGGAAACTACAGTACTTCTGTTATCCTAAATGGAAATTGAAGACAAACTTTTACATGGAAGCACCTATCGAGAACCCTCTTGAAACTATAGGAAAGCAAGATTTGATAACTGACTTCTTCACTAGTGTTCCCAAAGTCTTCCCATTTATCTTCTCCTTCCTCTTCATTAACCTTGACAGGTGAACAGCGTGATTCAATTCCTCCAAAGCGTTCCATAACCTCTGACTCACACATGGGATTCGAACCAACTTCCTTCGCAGCGTATTCGACCGACTTGTCTATTGCTATCTTCCGTCCGCGTCTTGGCACATCCACGTTTCCCAACTTCTTCGTGGTCTTCATTCTGTCTGGAGTGGCGCTCTTCTGTCGCCCCTTGACTCGTTTTGATTCAGAGACTACTGCGGTTGAATTTTTAGTTGTGCCGCTTCTTGATCTTATCTTGGAAAACCTTGAGATTCTTTTCGATCTCGCGCCTTCCTCTACGGGTGTTAATGGCGGAACTTTTCGAGAGTTACTTCGAGTATCAACCATTTCTAAATTTAATTTTCCCTAGATCACTTGATAGAAAAGCAAATGTGAGGACCAATATAACTTCGAAAACAAATCTATGCACATAGAAAAAAGCCGTTGTAAGCGAATCTTTATACCAATAATATTTACGTATTTTAACAATGTCTAAGGCACATAAAAATCGCGACGACTTCCAATGCAAATACAATCTGCAAAAAAGAGAAAATCCTAAAAAAAAAGAAAATTATGCCCAATTTCATCATAAAACTTGACCAGAACAGAATAGCCTATGAGATCAAGGCAATGACGAAGGATCGATTGATGAAGAACTAGAAGCATTCTAGAAATCGAGTAATCGGGTAAAGAAGTGTGAAAAAAACTGACCACGCAAGCGTTGCTACAAATTTGGACGGAACAAATGTTTGAGCTTTTGAGCTATCTGAAAGTGACATAGTTTCGAAGCAACAGGACAAGAAAAAAGGACTTTTCCATCATATATTAATGTCTCATATCAACAATAGTAATACTGAGATCGCCAGAGTATCTGACATGCTCTGCTTCCAAAAAAAGCTTCTCGGCGTCCGGATGAAGATGAAAACCTGCCTTCGTGCAAGACTCTACCACACTCATCCCATACGATGATAGCACGAACGTACCGACTCTTAAAGAAAATGAAATGTGCAAGTAATGACCGACATCAATCTGCTTAACGCACTACTTGTGTTTGGAGTGGGATAAAACAAGACATCAATGAGCGGCCCACGAGAGCAAGATCTAGTACAATGCACAGCGCTTTGCCGTAAATATATCTTTACTCTTCGTTGAGTTGACCACTTATGAATAAGACAAGATCTTTGTTTGTTCTGTCTTGGTTTGTATGTGGTTTGATATTCTGCTGACTACGAAATCCGTGAGATGAACAACATAGCTCTTCTTAAGTTATGGCGGGTACAGCTTTGGCAAGATGTTTAGCGAATATGGGAATGATATAAACCAAGCAGAAGGCAAAGTTAATTGGTCTTGCATTTAAGCAGTACAGAACTTATGTCGAATGTCAGCGTTTCACAATAGAATAAGTCTTGTGCTATTTGAACGTTAAGCTTAAAAATGTTCACAAATTCACAAATTAATGTCTGAATGTAATCTGAGCAGATAGTATGCTCATATATCTTACCACTCTGTCCTTTTATGTTCATTATTATGCCCTAAACCAAAGCGAAACGCTAAGAAATATCACCAAATTCCTGAAGAATTTGGAAAACAAACACTTGTTTCTCTCCAACAACAGTTTCAATATGGTTTTAAAGAAAGAAATTAAGCATTCTATGTATAAATTAATGACTCTTCTACAACTGAAATTTCGGCAGTTGTAAGGAAAACAGAGCTAAAACTCCAAGGCCAAAGCGTTTCAACGATATCATGGAAGTTTGAAACTTGTTCGAAAATAGTATACTTGTTAAAACAAACATACTGGTTGTGTGTAGGAGCACAAACAATGGCTATTGCCTCGTTAAGCATTATTTGATAGGCGCAATGTGTATGAAGGTCAACGGACGACAGGAAAGCCGTTTGCGAAGGATGAGTGTGGATCCAACCCAACGTTATAAGATCGTGCTTGTTCTGATATGCAAACACCTGTAAAACTCATGAGAAAGCTATTCTGCCCAAAAGGATACACTTCTCACGCCCACAAGCGCACCTCTTCCTCTCCTTCAGCATAGCAACCATCGGATGCCCCTGTTTGTTTTGGGAGAATCACATGCGAAACAACTAATTCACAACCTATCTAAAGGAAGAATATGTCTGAAAGTTAATAATAGAAAAAGAATGACTAACAATAGTTCCACACAAAGTCCCACAAGTCTCTATATTTCTCAGTGTGTTGTCCTCAGCGCAAATCAAGAATCTGGAATGACGAAGGTTAAAATCTGCCTTCGAACAAGCAACAAATCACGTGTAGTAAACTTACTTCTTAATTAAGTCACCAGGAATTAACACAACTCTATTGCTCACGGCACCACACACAGAATGGAACACATTATTGGGCTTATTACTCCGATCTATGTGGGGAGCAGACGGAGTTTCACCACGCTTTGTCGAAAGATTTGTGATATTTGTGGAACTCGAGGGCGCACTGAGTCCAGGAAAGGATATGTCACTTGTGTTGACGCCCGGATTACTGAAAATTATATGGCAAATTACAGGAAAGTGGATCAAAGTAACCTTTAGTAATACTACTAATCAGATCTAATGTTTTAAGAGGAGTTCAGTCACACACAGACGCCGCACTACATCCGCATTTCATTTACAAATTCTCCAGAAATGCCAACACAGTTGGAAACAAATCTTCTTTATAATGCCATCAATTCGCCACAACAAGCATTGCTGGTATGCTTAGACGAAAATTATTTGCTCTTTCATCTTTAAACAAGAATTTCTCAGTCCATAAATAAAGGATAACGCTCTCGCCGTTGATCAATCCCTCAAGGATGCGCCATGCATTCGACTTCATCAAGCACCGTTGGAGGTGATTGAATGCATATCTGGCCTTTACTCGTGGTACCCTACCGACGTATCGAGCCAATGCTGCTACCCTCCCAGAAAAGTCTGGTACCAATTTGCGGACTCCCTAGGGAAGGAAGGCTTGGTGGTCCATGGGCGCAGGGATGGATTCCACAAGCGCCGCAGTGGCGCCTCCTACCACCGCGCCACACGTGCCCTATCTCAGCCCACAATTAATGTTAATCATTGATCTTAACCTTTTTACTTGCTGCCTACTTTATATTTTTTAATGGCAGGGTATCATGTGACATACAGCTAAGATGATGCTGAGATATTTGCAAAACTCTGGACCGCAGGTGTCTGTGGTGGGAAACGAACGCACTATTGTCCTTTCCGGGGAGTAACGCGCTCACCACCACACCATCCGGGTCCTTCATTTCGCCTGTCTCTCAGCTAGTTTTATTGATCTGCGCCATCAGCAAACCCGTCAATGGGACTGATCTAAGAAGCCCAAATCTGCAACGAATCTAGTTAAGCTGAGACTGGAGTCGAAATCACAACCTTAACCTTTTTATATTTGCTGCCTACTTTTTTTTTAACGGCTTCTTAGTTGTATTTCACATGACACCCTGCCGTTAAAAAAAATAAAGTGGGCAGCAAATAAAAAGGTTAAGATTATGATTTCGACTTCAACCTCAGCTTAACTAGATTCGTTGCCGATTTGGGTTTCCTAGATCAGTCTCGTTGACGGGCGATTGCTGATAGCGCCGATCAATAGAACTAGCTGAGAGACAGGCGAAACGAAGGACCCACATGGTGTAGTGGTGAACGCGTTACTAACCGGAAAGGACAATAGCGCGTTCGTTCCCCACCGCAGACACCTGCGGTCCGGAGTTTTGTAAATATTTCAGCAAATCATTGAAATAAAAGTTATTAGAACCTATATCTTTATCGGATCCTCCCTCCCAACGGTTTATCGGCTCGTCCTGGTCTGGAAGTGTTTCTGGGTGATGTGCTGCGATGTGCAGCGAGAGGATTCATCCCACCTGGCTGGGTCCCCAAGCTGAGGAGTTCGGGGTTTCCATAGGGAAACCTAACTAACTGTAAACGATACGAAGATCCACTACTGTCCTGGTATCGAACTAGTAGCACGGTGACAAATTTGCCTTTGATCCATAACGGCGGCGACTGCCTGCAGTAGTGACGAACTGGGAAGCAAACTTTGGTTAGGCTGACCTTAGGACTCCAGGGAGTCACAAGAGCTAAACGAGCAAAACTGGAAAAAAGGAAATTATGATGGGGTCCGCACAACCAGTGAAGATGGGTCACCTAAGTATCCAAGTAAGTATATCTTTACCAACAACGAACAAGTCTGCCTATTTAAATGATTTTCTCGAGCCCACAAATAATCATTCCTTTCATTCGTTAAGGCTGTCACTTACAGCAGTTGAATTCTACCAGCAGAAAATGGAATTTTGACTTACATTATACGAATAGCAATAGTCTCGGCTGATGAAACAAAAGCACTCGACCCCTCAGGTACGTGAGCAATGCTAGCATTTTCGAATTCCTGAAACCCGAAGCTTCCTCTTAGGACAGAATGTAAGTAGATTTAATCAAATTTAGATTTGATATACATAAAAAAATATGGAAGCAGAAAGATAGACCACCTGTCCAGCCTGGTGGATGGATTTCTTGGCTTCTGCAGCTTCATTTTCAAACTTTAACCGTAATGACCGCTTAATTTCTTCGGCCTGAATATGATCTCTAACAGAAATACCAGCTTGGTGTAAATTACGCCATTAATGAGAAAAAAACAACTTAAAATGTTACACGTTCTATGGCAGGTTTCAACAATGAAACAACAGTTCCCTTCTCTTCTCCATCAAACTCGTTAAATTGAACGTGTTTTGGTAGCTCTTCCAACGTAAAACTAAACAGTGTACAACAATGACACTAACTGTAGTTACAAGTACTAGCAATCACTTAGGTAAATGATTTTGCTAATAACAGCTGTAATCTTTTATAACCAATGGATAAAGGATAAGAAGATAAAGCTTTCGACGTCGATCAACCCTTAGGGATGTGCGCAATACATTCGACTTCATTAAGCATCGTTTGGAGGTGAGTGAATGCATATCTGGTCTTTACAATGACTCGTAGTGGCCTATCGATGTATCAAGCCAGTGCTGTTATCCTCCCAGACAAGTCTAGCGGCGGTTCGCCGACCCGGGAGTGATAGGGACAAAAGCGTTGATGGGCCAAAGGTACCGGGATCGATCCTTAGTCTATTGCAGGGCGCCTCGAACCACTCCGCCACACACGCCCGTGTTCAATAGATAATAAGTTAAAAGCAGAGCGCTAAAAGGAAAGAATGACTGGACGTAGTAAACACACCTGCAAAAACGAATAAGCAATACAAGAGCTCTTTCCAAATCTTGGCTGTTCATATAAGACACTGCCATTCGATGAGCCTCTATCATACTTCTGTAGTATCTGAAACATTCCGTACTAAACATATGCTAGAAGTCACAACAAGTCAGCCACCTTTTCTTCATGATAGAACTGTACCATACAAAATCTCATGAATAATAATGACGACAATGAGAGACATATTACTTCAACTGGGTTACGGGTTAGCACCAAAGAACCGCACCTTACTATCGGGATGGTGTTACTGATCTTTTGCGGTTTTGCCATGGCCAGTAACTTCGCCATACGATCCGTAGCATTCGCTTTATTTGAACCTTGTGTTTGTACCCGCTCCTCCATACTTCCTACGTTTAAATAGCACAAAAGATCATGTCAAACTAGTACTGTACTGATTGCTTTCGAGAACAACGTCACTAAAATCAACGGTACATCTACAAGTGTTTACAGTTGAAAAAAGGAATGAAGGAAAACATCCACTGGGTTGTTAGCAGATGCTAGTGAATCCTCATAGATGTCTCATTAGTAGTTATTTATTTCGATGGCCCGTCCTCACTGGTTGTGCGGGTCCAAACATATTCTCCATTTTTTAGAGTTTTGCTGGCTTAACCATTAAGATTCCCTGGAGTCCTCAGGCAAGCCTGTCTAAAGGCTGCTCCAGGTCGTCAGCACCACAGCCACTCGCCGCCCTCGTAGAAGAGAGAGACATTTACCACCATGCGACTAGTTTGGTACCAGGACCATAGTGGATCCTGGCACTGGTTTACTCTCAGCTGAGCTTCCTGATGAAAACACTGAACTCCTTCTCAGCTTGGGAGACCCTGTTGGAGGGATAAATTTCCTGCTCCTGCTGTAAATCGCAGTCTGAGGCCCAGGAACGGCTCCGTTACGACGAGGCGGTAAACCGCCGGGAGGAGACGTATCACTAGTACATTTAGAAATCTAGAAAAAAGTCTACTGGAATAATCTTCCCATATTTTAGGCTGTGACAACCAGGTTCATTTTGTATTTATACTACATTAACACAACATGTTTATATAGCACCAGTGCAACAAGTGCGTGTAAGCAACACAATGAGACTGGTCTTGCAATAATCCTCTGCTTAAAGAAAACAGACAATGAAATATACACAGCATATGACAGAGTCTCCACAATCTAGCTCTCGACGTGAAAAGAATTTATTCAATGAGACGCTATTTACTCACACAGAATTCAACCCCACGCATTGGTTGTGCTGTAATGCATAACTAGATGGTCGTCATTGCCATCGCCTCTAATCGCATAACAATCACGAAGAGAACCAAAAGAATGGTCAGGCGACGGGGCAAAAGTTTGTGAAATATAAACGTGAAGAGTCTGGTCGTCAGATAAGTTAATCAACTTTTTAATTACTTGCGAAAACCATGCTACTGTTCGATTGGCATCAACACTGAACTTCTTCTGCTTCAAAATTGGAGCGTCGCCAACCGCACGCAGTAGAATGGTGACCTTATCGTCACCCATGTTTATTCAAGCTGAAAACCCAAGGCTTAGGAAGAACAACTGCAGTGCAACTAGTATGAAATGACGGTAAAACGGATCAAAGACATAAAGTGGAAAGAGAAGAACATAAAAGTAAGAAAAAAGCAAGTAAGCGAAAATATTTGAAAGAAACCATAAGGATTCGCATGAAAAGGCGTTTTCTACTAAAGCGACTGAAATACTGAAATTTGAAAATTTTACCCAAGTATTTACCATAACTGCAAAGAATGTAGTTATGCAACAATTTGAAACCCTCTCGAACTTCAATAAAATAGCCCTCCTTTACAGAAACGAAAGATTTTAAATCAAGTACTGAACCATGCCGAATATAAAATAGGATCAAGCTTCCAGCGTTGATCACACTCTGAGGGATGCACCATACATTCGACTTCATTAAGCATTGTTTGAAGCGACTGAGCGCATATCTGGCCTTTACACTGATTCAATGTGGCCTAACGATGTATCGAGTCAGTGCTGCTATCCTCCCAGACAAGTCCGGTACCAATTTGCCGAACCCGGATGACGGAAGGCTTGGTGGGCCAGGTGTACGGGAATCGATCCCACGTGTGCATTGCAGGACGCCTCCGACCACTGCGCTACATGTGCCCCTGACACTGCTGAATACATCGGACAAAAAGTATATGCATGTAATCGTACAACACAAAGAGGATAGAAGTTTGTAGAATATGCACGACACTCACATTTCTGTTTGCTCTGAACTGAAACGTACTTTATAAAGGCAGTACTGCTCTTGCCCAGTATATAAGTCCTACGAAAGACAATAGTGATAGAACAGCAACGCTTGCAAAAACCTTCCGTTCCCACGGTTCCAGCACATACACTCCAGTCACTAAGCAAAACTGGAGATAAAGCCAGTCCAATCCATATACCTGAAAACTCGGATAAAGCTTCACTACGCTAAAATCACTGTAAAATGCACAAGCCTGTCAGATAATTCGAAGAAGTCTCGGTTAGCACGAGTTTAGAACCCCTGCAAATCCATTAAAGTCTTTTACAACTTCTGGAATTTACGAGAAGGAAAGACCCGAAGAAAAAAGAACATCACGAAGGGTTAAAAATTATTTAAAAGAAAATGGTAAGAGCTTATTAGACATGTACAACTACGGAACTTTTCTCTTGAGAGGTGTACAATTTAGCGCTTTAGCAGATCTCTCGTACCTGGCAATCGAATTCATACCATATTTTACTTAAAACACCTTAAATAGCTGAAAATCAAAAGTGTACAGTAATACGTGTAAAAGGAATAGCAAGACATTTCGAAAACGGACCGACTCGACTTTTCTTGGATGCGTGAGGGCGCTTTTCATAACCGTACGCAAGCTAGAGTCAAATACTGGTTGAGCGATCCCTGAACGAACGAACTGCTAGTTAGCGGAGCCCAAGTGACGAAAGAGGAGGGACGAGTGGACAGACGACAAAAAGTGCGCCACCACGAATGACGTCGATCGAGGTGCTAGTAGGAGAGCGCTGTTGCGATATGCTTATGAGTGCCGTGCGGCCAAGGAGGCTGTTACTTTGCTTCTTCCTTTCCTCTTCCATTCTTATCCTTACCTTGTTCCCCTTCATGCCAATTATTTCCTGGTGTTGTCGGAATGCAAGAGTCCTAGTCGAAAGCTCAATCGCTTATCTCTCCAGATTGATCATTACGGCTGGTGACGTTGCTGTCTGAGCGTGAGTAATCGATCGCGTCTCATTTTCTTTTGAGCGTGAAAAAATCCTGCGAAATCTTACATATTTGTGGTCTTATCTCATCATGTATAGCAAAGTGAACTACTTACTCCTTAAAACCATGCTGTTCAACTTGTTACCGTCGTTGCTAGTTCTACCAGTAGTAGTTGCAACTTATTTAGCAGTTTTTTTTAATGAAGCTGCGCTCTATATGTCCTCTTGATTTCAAAGTGAACCTATCGTTTTCTGTCAGTCAGATAGGAAAGTCTCGTTATGTATTTATTCGTTGATATGCTTTTAGATCGTTTTTAGATCGTTCTGAGTTGTAAGAGTCTCCAACAGAAAAGCATGAAAAACCAGAAACAGGATCCACGACCGTCCTGGTACCAAATTAGTCCCATGGTGGCAAATCCTCCTCTGATCCACAAGGGTGGGGACTGCCTGTAGTGCTGACGACCTGGGGCAAACTTTGGCTTGGGTGACCTCGGGATTCCAGGCAACCGTAATGGCTAAACCGCAAATCTCCGAAAAATTGGAGGTTATGCTGGGTCGCGCACAACCACTGAGGACGAGTCATCCAAATATCTAAATAGATGAGGCTTGAAAAGCCATAGGCACTTCACTGTGTTAGAACACTATGTTCGCAAGGTGAGCTCAACTTCAGGTTGAAAACAGCTTTCAAACCAACAATAGGGTCGATGTAAGGTCATTCCAATCTTGATAGCCTCTCTGTGCGTGTTACACCCATTCTGTGTGGTTCTCCAACCAGTTTTCCAACACAGTTCGTCGTTGTTGTGTTCCGAACGAAACATCTCTCGTCTCCATTTTCCCTAACTGTTCATAAATTCGCTTTTTACGTGTTCTTATCGCTCATTGCTTCAGTGTTTTCTGGCGTAAAATCTCTCACATCGCTTCTTTGTAATTTTCGATACCTCTCTCCTTCCAGCCGTGATTCTACTAGTTTAGAGTAGGCAGGCGTTTTCATTGGAATACTTTACTTTACTACAGCGGGATTTAGTGCCTTATTGGTTTTAAGCAACAGCGGGACCACATTTACTATCGTTTGTTTGAAAACGTTTAGTTTTGAAATGTAAACTACAGACACGCTTATCTTAGCTCGTTATAAACTTTGTGAATCGGAGTAGAGACGGTTGGAACCTTTGCATTTTTCGAATTTACTTCCGGTCACTTGGATTGCCCATGTTCGCTGGTTGTGCGGGCCCCAGCACAATTTCCGTTTTTTCGGAGTTTTGCTGATTTAGCCATTGTGGTTCACTGCAGTCCCGAGGTTAGCTTAGCCAAAGTCTGCCACAGGTCGTCACCACCACAAGCAGTCGCAGCCCTTGTGGATCAGGGGAAAATTTGCCACCATACGACTTTGATAGCGGAGCAGTGGTGGATCCTGGTATTGGTTTACTCCTGGCTGGGCTTCCTAATGGAAACGCCGAACTCCTTTTCACTTTGGGAGAACCTGCTGTGGAGGATCAATCCTCCCGCTGTACATCACAGCTCGATACCCAGGAACGTCTACCAGGCACGTTGAGGCCGATACCGTTGGGGTGGTTTGCTATTTAGTGTTTCATATTTCAAGAAGTTAAGGATTTTGTATGCAGGTATGAGGCGAGACCTGTCAGAATTTCTCGTTCCAGCTCTTTCAGCTTTTGCAGGGTCAGGTGTCCTGTGTGTGGCTAAGGGTTGTTTTGCAACAGAGTTCCTCCTTTCGACTGATCAGTGCTGTGGTTATTAAAACATTCTATTTATTCACTGAAGTTACTACTTTGCTTATGGTTTTACCGAAGATATGAAAAGTTCACCGTGAACCTTCTTTGTGCATGTTTGATTTCGGGAAGTTCGTATCCGTGCACATCGCATCAACGGTTGCTCAGTTTCAGCCGCTTGTACTCAGGAACAGAATCAACCTTTTCTTCCGGGAAAGAAGAAAGCGCAAGGCATCTTGAGCGTTTTGGGTTTCGATTAAGAAGAGATGTTCCGAAATTTATTTTGTTGCTCCTGGATTCTCCACAAGGTCTTACACCGTTATGCTTTGGTTTGCTTCGATTAATTTCTGCAAGTGATCATCGTCGTTGGCAACAAGTCATTCGTAACCTTTGTTTCCAAGACTGTCATCAACTTTAATAATGCTGAGATATTTGCAAAACTCCGGACCGCAGGTGTCTGAGATGGGGAACGAACGCGCTATTGTCCTTTCCGGGGAGTAACGCGTTCACCACCACACCATGCGGGTCCTTCGTTTTGCCTGTCTCTCAGCTACTTCAATCCCGTTGACAGGTGATTGCTGATGGCAAGTGATCGACAGAACTAGCTGAGAGACAGGCGAAACGAAGGACCCCCTCATGGTGTAGTGGTGAACGCGTTCGTTCCACATCGCAGACACCTGCAGTCCGGAGTTTTGCAAATATCTCAGCACCATTAAAGTTATATTTCGCAACACATGTTTTCGGTGATACGGAAATGAAGGCGATGATACAACACTAATTCAACATCGACAAAGGCGCTTAGTTTTTGGCCGTGCACTTGAGCCAGAGTTCTCTTGCAGTCCCCGAAGAAAATGCCCTTGCAGTTTTGGTTCACTGTTTGCTTTATGGTTCGATTTCTTCTGCGTTGATAATAAATGTGTTTTCCACATGCAGACGTCTCCTCTATGTTGTTCTGTGTATCTTTTGGTGTTATCGAACATGTTCAACTCCCATATAAGAGATAAAGCTTTCGACGCTGATCAGTCTCTGTAAGATGCACCATGCATTAGACTTCCTGAACCCATCGTTAGAGGTAATTGGAGGTATAGGTTTGCTGTCCTACGACTAGGGCTTGTGGTTATTGGCAGTGGCGAAGCCAAATTCTGATTTGTTTCGTTAAAACCAAGATATTCTCTCGATACTTAGATTTTTGTTATCTTATTATAAACAGCCGACTTTGTTTTCAGAATTTTTGGACGGCTATATGAAGCAATTTATGAGCCAGTATGAGATCTAGCGGCTTCATGTGGTCTTGTTTAGAACGAAATATTTTGGTATACTGGGAATTTGATAGTGCTCTTGACTTCGGAGACGTGTTGCGCAGTGGCTAGGGTATTATGCAGTAGACACATGATCTTAGTTCGATCACGCACTTTACAATGATCTCCTGCGATGCTTGTTGGAGTCGAGTGCACGTCCGTTAGGGATTCCCGAGAACTTTGTCTTTTTGTCGTTTAATGTTAATTCAGCTCTTCCATTCATCTCTCACTCTCATCAGAAGACTTGGTTGCTTTGGTAGACAGATGCCTTAACAGTTTGATGCAAAAAAGGTAGAAATAGGTACATTCTGTTGCAACAGAATTTTTGTTTTATCCGGATATTCCCATGAATTTGAAAACCTCTGGAGTTTTAGACTGCTGCATAAATTTCGTCCTGGGTTTAGCAACAAACTCCTTTGTCATTCGTGTGTGAAACTTCCCAGTCTTAATCAACAAGTCCAAGCTATTTGCTGATTCCCTTAATAACTCGAAAGACCGACTTCCTATAAACCTCGGCATAGATAGTTGATATATTTATTTATGTGATCTTATAAACTGATCTTCTTAAGCTGACGCGAGATTGGTACAGATCTTCGTTGTCGTTGTCGTTGTTTTTGATGTTATTGATCGATAGCTGACGTTTCGGCGACTTCGCCTTCCTCAGAGCCTGGACGTACTTTATGTTAGAATATTTTTTATTCTTCGGTAGAAAAGAAGGTTAAAGTATTAATGAAGATCAAACTTTCAAAGAGACGCCATATTGAACAGAAAGGCCACTCACCGCGATGTTACGTGCGAGACTGGCACACGCGTTGTTTTCGTGGAGTCGCGAGCGAGACACACCCCGGGGTCAAAATATCATTTTGAAATAAGGTGCCGGATCACGCGTGACAGTGAGGAATTCGTCCTTCCGGTTCATCTTTGGATTTCTGAAATTTATCCAAAACACCTCAAGAGTTTTGCGCGTTGATGTTTTCGATTCCTACGCTAGGATCCGCACATTCACTTCAAAATCATCGCCGTTGTGCTTTTGTGCCCTATGCGTACCTAGAGGGGTGTTTAAACGGATTTTAGCTTTTCCATCTCGATGTTCTTTTATGGGGACACAAAGTGGTGTACCCGTTTCCCCGATATATTCCTCGCCGCATGCATTACATGAGATCAAGTATATTATACCTGAACTCATGCAATCCCCGTCTCTCCCGTTAGGACAGATCATACAGTTTTCTGAGCTGCACAAACGATCATAGAGACGGTTTCGAACTAACTTAAGGTGTAGGGTATTGGGTAGGATGTCAATAATCGTTACATAATTTTCAAGACCACTTTTTGTTAAGCACTTTTTGATGGCGTGACTTACTTCATTTGATACGAAGGGCAGCTTACTTTCGTCTGAAATATTATTTTGGGAAACTACCCAACGTTTTCCTCTAACCCGAGTGACTTCTACTTCGTTGCCATTGGAAATGGCAATTTTTCGTGCCAGGTTTCGCGATTCCTTCCTTTCCTCTTCTCCTGTACACACATTTTTAGCTGTACGACACATATTTTTGATAAGTGCTTTTTCATGTGTGAAGAATGAGAGGAGAGGCAGTGAACTAGAATGTTTTTACTACTTGACTTGCGATGCCATTTTGATATGTACCAACCTCGCGTCAGCTTAAGATCAGTTTATAAGATCACATAAATAAATATATTTGCTGATTGATAAAACAAACATACGAGTGAGTTTGCTATAAGGTTCTTGAAGCATATACAGTCTTTCCAGCATATTTTTTATTGAAATTTTCCGAAGTAAAAGTTTAATTGGATGGTAATAATAAATCTTTAATGATTTGTGATCATTAGCGCAGTAGTCGCCAGCATTGACATCGTGGGTGGAAGCAATCCTATCCTGGAAAAACTCCTCCTTTGTCCAGTTATTCTACTAGAGATGCGAGCTTTTGGAGACAAAAGGCTTAGAATAAAAACGTTGTTGAACTAAGGCTGGTGATCGGAGTATAGATTCGTACTTGGTTGATGCACTTCACCTGCGTCCATACATCTATGAGTGTCACACAATTGCTGACTAGTAGCACTTAAAGATACATTTTTAATATATCCAGCCTTTATTTACTGCTTACTCTTTTTTCATGAAAGGGTATTATCTGAAATACAACTACAATGATGCTGAGATATTTTTAAAACTCTGGACCGTAGGTGTCTCCGGTAGTGATCGAATCCACTATTACCCTTTACAGGAAATAACGTGTTCAGTACCACATTATGCAGTTAATAAAAAGTGGTTACATTGTGATTTATACTAAAACTTTTAATTAACTGGATTCAATGCTGATTTGCGCTCCCAAATCAATCCTGCTGATGGGTGATTGCTGATAGCACCTATAAAATACGGCTGAGCGAAAGTCGAAACAAAGAACCCTCGTAGTGCGGTGCTGAACGCGTTAGCCTCCGAAAAGGGTAGTAGCGAGTTCTACTCCTACCGCTGACATTTGTGGCACGGAGTTTTGCAAATACCTCAACACCATTATAGATGCATTTTTAGTTTTTGAACATTTCTTCCACTTTCCTTTGTTAAAGTTGATCACTCCCTAGTCATACTGATTCCTAAAAGGTCATTTACATTACTTTTTCTGTGATAAGTTAAATGGATAAAATGTTTCAACTAGGTGCTTTCGGATTTAATATCCTATTCAGTTTCCGAATACTTTATTCAGAGATATTCTACAGGTTTTTCTTGTGATTACGTTATTCTTCTTTAGCGAAGTGTTTAGTTCACAGTGCATTAAAGCTTTTTCAGTAATGGGAAAAAGTCGAAATAAAAATAAAGATAAGGAGGCATATACAGGACCTACCAGAAAAGGAAGAGGTTGGGTTTAATACTGTTTTAAATTGATAGACTTGCTGTACACAAGCTTAGAATGTGAGGTTTAGTTGTAGAACTCTGTTTCCAGGACCTGACGAAAGTGATAGTGAGGAATCATGTTGTTCACATATCACCTTTGATGAAGATATGAGAAGTGTGCAAGGTGAGTCTGTATGTTTGACATCGAGACAAAGGAAAGCATGCGCTACATATTGCTTCGTATGCATTGGCAATTTTACTTGGATACTTGGATGGTCTTGGATGGTCCGTCTTCACTGATTATGCGGGCGCCAGTACAATTCCCATTTTCCGAAGATTTTCTAGTTTAGCTACTGTGGTTCCTCGTAGTCCCGAGGACATCCTGGCCAAAGTCTGTCCCAGGTCGTCAGCACCACTGGCAGTCGCCTCTTTTGTGGAGATAGATTTGCCACCGTACGACTAGTTTCATATCAAGACGGTGCTGGATCCTGGTATTGGTATTAGTTTACCATTGACTAGGCTTCCTAATGGAAACGCGGGACTCCTCACTTTGGGAGACACTGCTTGAGTATGAACCTCGCTGTACATCGCAGGCCCGACACAAGAATACTTCCCAGTGACGATGAGGAGATAAATCTTCGGAAATGAGTTGCTAATTTTGAGATTGGCGATTTACTCAAGTCAATTATTATTCTGTCCTCTTTGTATATTATTGTTGTTTCTTGCTTCAAAACCGATGATAGGATGAGTTATGTATAAAATTAAAAACTGATGTCCAGTTTGAGCTTCTGTCAAATAAATTACTTCTCATTAAGGTGAGCTCGCTGAAGATGTTGACTCTCTTAGCTTTTTGGATACGCTCGCTGAACACGTTGAAAACGCTAGTCATAAGAAGCACGTTTTTTCTTGTTCTTTATCGCTGACGGACAATTAAAATTCGTAATCGGTAATCGCCTAATTTTACAGTATCTCTATACGAATGGCAGCCCTGCGTCATCTTCAGCTGGCGATGTGTTCACAATACATTCCGGACTTCGTTACCAAATGGCGGTCAACCCTTATTGACATTATTGCAAAGAATTTAAAGAAGACTGATGAAGAAGTAGCCATATCAGCGGTGCTCCTTGCACTTGCATCTTTACAAATCGGTTCTTAGTTTGTTATCAGTGGTACGTCAGAATCAGATATGAAAGTGTTAGCCAATTTAATTAAGGTGATGAAATGGGTTCCGATGTGGAGGACTGTTTGACCATTCTTCGTACACATGTGACAGACCACTCGAAAACAGAGCAATTGCGCGCTCTTTGTTCGTTTTCTATTGCAATTACTAGTCATGTCGCATGTACAAACGATGAGTCCATATCGGCCAGCACCAAGGTATGTTTTGTGTCAGCTCCTTTATGAGGGTTTCCTTAGAAATGCCCTACTAATAAGTTAGATTTAGGCGTTACGATCTGTATGGGTAGGTACAAAACTGAGTTCCCAGGGAACAAAGCTGTTCACAGCTTCCTTGATATGCTGGACATTATTGCTACAGGTATTCTTGGTGAATGATTCAACTTAAAAACATATGGCCCAAACTTATTAAAGCCTAGTAAGATTGCACTAATTTCTGAGTGATTGAATCAACGCTAATATCTACCATGATGATTTCCATAACATGGTGTGTGAACAAGTTTAGGATTTGGTTGGAGCGTGGTCAAATGTATGTAACAAGAAATCCTGTGTAGATCGTTCAGGTCGTCTAAACCAAGTACCATTGAACCACACTGAATTTCTAGGATGCCGATAGTTCTTCATTGGATGTCGCGTTCGGCGACTTCTCCAAGCTGGCTTCTTTCTTGGAAGCTGACCAACTTGATATAAGGGTCGCCACTGGAGAAGCGCTTGCTTTTCTCTATGAAATTAGGTCCGAATATCGTCCCAATTTCCGGGTTTCAAATCACCAACAAATTGTACAGGTGCGCTATTTTAGTACAGTTATTGCCTAATGGAACAACTGTGTTCTATTCGAGTTTGGATAGAGATATCGCAGTGAACTCCTAGACATTCTTACTCCATTCCTTCTACTATGAATCATCTTTTCAATTTTCCAGCAGCTGAGCGCTCTGTGTAATGATAGTTCGAAGGGCAAAACGAAAAAAGATAGGCGCGTACAGCGGTTTACCTTCAGGTATTTTTGACCAGTGAACTTCATTGCAAACTGGTATTCAGGTGTCACTGAAAAGAATGAACATTCAGGCAGATCTACTCAACCATAGTGGATAAGGAAACTCCATCACTGACTATAAAATTCAATAGAGAATCAGTAGTCCTGGATTCATGTTCATCCAAATTGCTCTATGACATCTGTTGCGAGGTATTTAATAATTGTGTAGACAAGTCGAATAATTATTTTACTATAATCATCTAGCTTCTTCACGGTGGTATGATGAGACAGCTCCAATACAATGAATTAGTCCGAGATCTATTCGGTCTGGGACCCGTTCAAACAGTTGACCAACACGAGAGAGTAAATAAATTTGCAAAGGTAACTAACTTCAATGTTTGAAATTCACATCGCCTTTCATAAAAAGCTTTGTTTCAGATGGCAGCACATGATGCAGCATCCAAATTTAGGAATAGGATACGTGGAAAGCAAAGGGATAAGCGGAATGTTGTAATATAATGAGACTACTCATACCTCACTATACACATATCCTAACATTTCCTCATTTCTAAAATCTTTTCGATCGTTGATGAAATTGGGTTTTCTCAGCTCATCTTTTACGAACCTACATATTAACTTCTGGGGTACGAGAAATTTTACTCGGTTTAGTAACTAAAAGCAGAAAATGCCTAGCAGAATAGAAAGTCTAAGTGTTCTTTTCAAAGAATATTGTCTACTAGTGACCATATCAAGAAGTATTAAATAAATGGAGATATATGGAACTCATGATACTGTACCTAACAGCCACAGCATTCAGCTGTACTCACGTGATCCCGTTCTTATGTGTCAAATCCACACACAGCTGTGTCCAGTCCACATACAGCTGTAGGTTTACTTCCAGAACTTTGATACTCTGTCGCCGGTAACATTAACGAACAACAATCAGCAATAACGTCCCAACAACCTAGTTGAAACAGATTAAAATGAAGTTCCTGGATTCTGACCGCAATCGCAGGAAGCAGTGCCGCAACCTTGAGCCTTTTCAGCACTTTGCGCTTGTTCGTCATCAACAACAGCAACTTTTTTAGGCTTCTGAATAATACATAGGCTTAAAAAAATGAGTAAGAATGAACTTAAATTGTTCTAACTCGTTTGATTCCCAAACCAGCACAGTCGGTGTTTAAACCTTCCAAAAGCAAACACGCTTTGCAAAGTGATTTACTACTAATGTAACCACACCTGAAACCAGCACTAAATTACCAGCGTTACGTGCACACTATACTATCAAGACCCGCGAACCTTGTACAGTTAGTGAGTTTTGGCATAACCACTTCTTTTCTCACAATAATGTTTTCACCCGACTCAATTAATGCCAAGATCGTCTGTGGCCGTATGCGCTCTAGCTCCTTTACATATGTCCTGGAATAATGAAACTCTTTAAAAGGTTTTATTGTAAACGATAACAACAGATGCTCTAGTTGTTCTAGTAGTACCTTGAGTACGCGCGGTAGGAGTCAGGCGCATATTTACACTCAGTGTAGAAATAGTCCAATTTGTTCAGGCGAGCGTACATAACTATATCCTTTTCGAAGCAGTACTAGATGGGGAAGATTAGTACCTAATTGTAATCTGAGAAATACAAAGAAAAGAAAACTACACATAGCACTCGAGTTGTAGTGTGGTTCGATTTTCTCACAGTTCTTGCAATTTCTCAGAAATGATATGTACTATCTGGGAGGTACCTCTGTGCGTGTACTTGAAGGTTACTTATACCTCTGCGTGGTCTACATGCTATTTTAAGGAATATGAGAAAAGCGAATTTCCAGAACAACTAGCCTTTAGTGGTTTGGCGCGTGGAAGTTCGCCTTCTTCCCCGGTAATGATACTGGTACACCGCTGAAGTCTAGGAACATCACCTCGGAGGACATTCATCAACACGGTCTCCGCCATATCATCCGCGTTATGGCCAGTTAATAATTTGGTCGCACCTAATTTATACGCACCTCTAAAAAGCTATGAGTGTCTTAAAATGGCCATAATAACATAGTGACACTAGATTTATTCACCGATCCAGAGCTTGCCGTCGGAATACGCCGCAAAATGTACAGTTATTTTTCTTCCCAATTTTGGCAACTATCTCGTCCATAGTCCAACCATAGAGATCCTTGTAAGTAAGAATTGTCAATGGCATGCAATAGTCCACATGATTTCGCTCAACAGCCTGCGAAGAAAAACTGTTGGAAGAACTGCAGAGTTTTTATAACATCGAAATTAAGGATGAAGCCGAGCTCAGCAAAATAATCAAATTTAAAGAAATACCTTGAGAGAGTCGTCACGATAACCCTTGATTCCTTCATCAATTGACAACAGTATTAAATCTAGTCCATAATCATACCGCTCATTAAGTGCCTGAAAAGTTGTATCGTAATAAGTTTGTATATATTCCGAGAAAATTCACCTTCATCACATAAGCCAATACGGTAGAATCCTTCCCACCAGATGCTCCAATTGCAACGCGCTCTCCACGTTTAAATAAATTCGTAGAAACGATAGTATTATGAACATCCTAGAAGACAATCCAGATTTAAATTTTCTAGATACATTTCCATAGATAGATTTGACATAGTTTGATATGACTTGATGTTAACTCGGAAGATTATGCACAAATTGGACGACTTGCTTCCACTATATGGACGAAAATATTTCCGTATTTTAACTTAGACAAGCATCTTTGTATTTAGCAAATCTTAAGCCTGCAAATAAATGGCAGAATCAAGTGATGCTTTCAGTAAGACTATTTGTTTTACGATGACATTCAGATTTTCAGAGACCGTGGGATATTTTTCCGACTTTTGTCATTGAGGGTGGTATTTTGAATAGCAAAGGAATGAATATCCATCGCGAGAACGACCACTTGTAGATCATCGACTCAGATCAATCCGTCTTTAAAGAGGAAGATGTCGAAAAGTTAGGCGAATGAATATTTCATACCAAGCTCATTGATCAAAGGAGACATTGATCATTTATGCCGAAGTTAAATAAAACTTACTTTCCAGAGAAGAACAAGCAGAATTTCTTCGATCAGACTAGATGATGTTCCCAAGCGCATTGTTAGTGCTTACTACTCGCGAGCTTCTAATTAAAATAATAAATAGTGCAACGTTTCTCCTAGCGGTTTACCACCTTATCGTGACTGGGAATTGTTCCTGCGCCTCTGAGTACAGCGAGGGAATTCATCCCTGGCAGCACGACCTCGCAAGCTGAAAAGGAGTCCGGGATTTCCATTAGGAAGCTGAGCTGAGAGTAAGCCAATAGCAGGATCTGTCACCATCCTGGCACCAAACTAGTCGTGTGGTGGCAAATCTCTCGCTCATCCACAAGGGCGGCGACTGCTTGTGGTGGTGACGACCTGAGGCAGACTTTGACTAAGCTAATCTCGGAACCGCAGGGAACCACAATGGCTAAACAAGCAAAACTCCGACAAAACGGAAACAATGATAGGACCGACACAACTGGTGAGGACGGGCCATCGAAGTCACCAAGTAATACTGCAACGCTAAGCCGATCCGTGTTGGGTTGTGAGCAGGTCCGCAAACGTACTTGGTCTCGAAAATCAATTAATCTTAAAGAGATTCGTTCGAGTCTGTATCGAATGTTAAGGGATCCACAATTATAAACGGAATAGATACTCACAACTGGGTATTTTAAGAATTGCTTCGTCAGTTTCACTACCCTAAATATAAACCATCTTTCAAAGCAATGTAGCTCTAATCAATACATTCCGCAAAACATCTTTTCCAGATCACTTACGATGGGTTTTAGAGTGTTTCCAGCTTATTTCTTGGTAGACTCATCCTTTGAGGCAACACCGATATTTCAAGTAGGTTTTATTCTAAGCAAGAACTATTTCTACATGCACGTTTTTATCATCTGAACAATTCTTGTCGGAGATCTACCACCACTTTAAATTAACGTTTACGTAGTTGCTCCACTCGTATCCAAATTAAGCCAAAACTCTATAAAGTACGATCTATGAAATATTTCGTTCGAAGTTTATTAAGGTAAAAGTTGGTATTGAGCACAATATGGAGACATATCTTCCTAATGGTTTACGGTCTTATCGTGGTTAGGAAGTGTTCCTCGATGTCGGACTACGATGTACAGCGGGGAGATGTCCCTCCGGCAGGGTCTCCCAAGCTGAGGAGTCCGGTGCTTCCATCAGGAAGCCTAGCTAAGAGTAAACCAATACCAGGATCCACCACCGTCTTGGTATCAAAGTCGCATGTTGGTAAATCTCCCTCTGATTCACAAGGGCGGCGACTGCCTGTGTTGGTGATGACTAGGGGCAGACTTTGGCAAGGATGACCACGGGACTCCAGAGAACCGCAATGGCTAAACCGGCAAAATTACGAGGGAGTGAAAATTGTGCTGGGGCCTGCACAACCAGTAACGATAAGTATAGAGACACATAAAATGCGAAAACTGTACAGATTAACTCAAATTCCGGTCGTTCCAATATTGCTAACAGATCAAGAAATCAAGAAATCTTGATCACAGATCAAGATCAAGAAACGAATCTTTTCTCGTCCATGGGAAATGAAACTCACATCTCAGCAAAAGGCACCATATATGGTCACATACTGATCAAACTCCCTTAACAAATGCTGCATAATTCTCCTAACCATCCTATATGTTGAGGCTTTAAACAGTCAGAGATTTTCGCACCTCGCAAAGAAAACTGAGAATTGCTGATAAAGTTCAGAAATACCTGTTCGAAACGTTCCGTAAAGCAAGGAGCGCAAAGAGCCGTCTCATCAGCCGCTCTCCTTACGACTGCATTCTTTGAGCAACCACTGGAACTGCATTCCAGACGATGCATGCACTAAAATGCACGGTATTAAAGGAATTCTGTAAATTAGAGTAGTAATGAGCGATAAAAGCATTTGGATAAACTGAGCCACTGAGCACACGTTCAACGAATGATCACAGCACTTAGTGTTAACACATACACGATGATGTGTCCCAATAATTAAATGGGCTTTTTCGACACAATTATCAGTTAATTTTTCCGAGTGGCTTTTTCAGATCAGTTCAGGAAACCGAAAAGGTCTTCTTCAGAGCTCGGAAAACACCTTGTGATGCAATGTGAGTCACCTATTATTCGTACAACTTCTGAATGCGATCAAACAAATCAACAAAGCATTGCAGATGGTGTTGATGCAGCTTAGCGCCTTTCAGTCACAAACCATTGCATAAGAGGAACAATATAGAAGAGATTAAGTACTTGATAAGGTTAAAAACGCTTTAAAGCAATCAAATCATGTTTTATGAAGTGATGAAGTACAACAGCTCGTCAAGTCCTTACAAGGAGTATAACGGTGTACAGTACGGATTAGTTTTGACATAGAACAACATACGAAATGATGTAAAAATGCACTAGGAAATCTTCATTATGTAAAGTTTTAGTACAAAATCTGAAAACTGACTGACGACAATTTAGAAATGACAGTAAGAAACATAGCAAAATTCGAGAAAAGCAAGTTTTGTACTTTAGTACGGATACGAGAACACTTAGTGCTAACGGAAGTAAAGGGCCAGACCAAAAAGCACTTTGCAGTAATAGAGGATGTTTCGGGACGTTTACTAAACATCAGTGGTGGATGAAAGTCTATGAATCCGACAAAATTCATGACCCCTATAACAAACTGGTTGTCGGCTCTGTAACAGACAAGAAATAACCAGTAGGGGCGAACAGTACAGTGAAATACGATCCCGAATACAGAACGAAGTCATGAGAATAAGCAGGAACCACTCGTCTACTCAGGAATATTAGTATCGCTTTGTGATCAGGCATTCCAATCCGTGACAGTGATCTCCCAGTTAACTCAGAATAGCGAGAAAATACGAATAAGGGAATACTGCAGAGTTGCACAAATTCAAGTAGCGAATATAATCTAGTTCAGTATGTTTAGAATGATTTGACATCCACAATGATAACGTCAAACTTGAAGAAAAATTCCTCCACAGAAGTAAGCTAGATAGTACAATTAACGTTCGGGCGATGGACCGGCAGACGATGTTTTCAGTCCAAGAACGAAGAATAGGAATGGACAGCCTTCTGACATTATTCGAACTGTCGGTGCAAAATGATTAATTAGCTTCGTTGACATGTCGCTGTGTGGAAATACATATAGAAGTCCACCAGATACCGTTACAACACCTAAATTTAGAAATAAGTCATAACAGACGGTATTATGTCGAAAATAACGTCAAAAGAATAGGAAAGGATTGAGAATTCAATGAACTTCCTTAATGAAAACGAAAAATATATTTGCATAAACAAACCAGCAGCATCCTTTTCCGTAAGATATCGTACTAATGGTCGGATATCATCCAGCTGTTTTCCAACTGCTATCATTAAACTAAGCTGCTTACGAGAAGAATTCACTAGTCTTTCCAAAAGCCCATCCTGACCTGATAAAGCCAACCTGGAACACAAAATGTATTGAAGCAAATAATGCAAAATGGCGTGAATTCAGTACTGTTCGATATGATATATGGGATAGCAAAAAACGGAAATATGAAACGAAACTCATAACAAAGAAAAAAAAATGATGTTTGTGTAATGCAACCACAGTGGTATTGAGATATTTGCAAAACCCAGACCCTAGTCTAGATTCGAACCACTGATTACACTTTCCGAGGCCCACATGTTACCTACTGCACCACTAAGACTCTTGCTTTGATTTTCTTTTGACCAGTTTTTTACGCTAAAGGTGCCATCAGCGATCACTCTTTAACGGAAATGATATGGGGAACACAAATAGGTATTGAACACAGTCAAGCTAAGGCTGCAGTCGAAATCATAATGCATAATTTTTTATTTTCTGTCCAATATTATTTTTTTCATGGCAGGATATTACGTGAAATACAACCTTTGTGTCACATGTAACTTGACTGCATTGCCATCTTCATCACGCAGTAATTTCTGAATCAATCTTTCAGTTCCTCCTATTCTATACAACTTGATATTATATTCCGTTTTCTTCAACAACACCTGAAAACAATATCATAAAACTTTAAAGCTAAGTCCAAAGGATTGAGTGATAAATGAAAAAATGATCTTCGAAACCATGCTCCTAAATGTGGACAAAAGTATGCTGAGAATCGCACAAAATGTGAAGATGGACCATTTAAGTATCAGTGGAGGTGAGTATAACTACGTTTAAAAAGAACTTCAATAAACAAAGTAAGAATTGATGCCGTAAGTAGTGGAGTGGTTAGTGATATAAATCATTTGGAAGCAAGGTGCCAGTTCGACCCGTCTTCAACGGTCCCCTCCAATCCATGTGGAGAACACCTTAGCTTGGCTACCTCCAAGACAGTGGGAATCGATTCGAACAGCATTATACAATATTCGAAAGGATGACGAAATCCTCGAGCTGCAGTCGAAACAACAGAACCCACGCATTATTCCCAATACAACATTTCTTTCGGCAACAAACGACACAATTGTTGCGGAAGTGGTGCAGGTTCTAGCTATTTCTAGATAGCTCTTTGCTTACTTAAGATCTTCACAAATGCCTAAAAAATAATAGTTAACTACTCGATGAGTGAAGCAACACCTCATGGTTCAACTTATTCCATTTTTGTAGCGTTAACCGTAAAACACGTAGTCAGTCATGTGTTGTTGTACAAAAAGAGTGGACCAAGTCAGTTCTCCACGACTTGCTATACACGCTGCACTTTCTCTAGAACTGTATAGATTTTCCGACGGTATTTCTCTCCAGTAAACTTTTTTTCCAACATTCAAAACAGCCCACTGAAATTCCACTTGACGAAAACGAAAAATTCTTCATGAACTTTCGACATAATGTAACAAAGTCATAAGTTCTTTTTTTTTAATATAACGTAATATAAAGTTAACGTAATATAACAATGTCATTTAAAATGTTTTCGTAGCACTATTTCATCCCAATTTCCTTGTTGTAAAATGTCATATCGCCATAATGCGATTAAGCGATTGCTAGTTTTTGACGCGTAAAAGAAGTACAGGAGATAATCCTTATCTGCCATCTAGCTGTTCCCCATTCAATTCGAGCGGCACGAATGAAGCAAGCTTTTCCACTCCGAATGTTGGGACCAGATGAGCCTCGAGTATCAGATCAATATGATGTCCGCCACTAACAGATCACCTGTATCACCTGCAGTCCCGTTGGTCGCTGAGTGACTCTAGCGGGTACCGGTAAATCTCCCACTTTTTCTTTATCGCGTGCAAGAGTAGAATAGTGTGTTCTGCTCGCTCTAAGATCTCGTTGAGCACCATACCTTTCTTCCGGGGTTTTCGTGAAGAACTCTGACCATCCGGTGGTTCCTGCATTACGTTTGACAACCCGAAGAATCCAGTCACTAACGGGTCTTGTCCATCGGTTGTCGTTCTCACGCATTACCTGTCTGACCCACTTTATCTTCGACTGTTTGGCATAGAGAACGGAATCCCTGATTTTTGATCACTGACGCAGGTCGGAACTTCGGATCCGTTTCCTTACTTGTGCGACACAGGATACTCCTACCATCGTCCTTTCAACTGCGCTTTCGATGACACTGAGTGATCTCTCACTCTGCTTACGCAGCGACGACGCTTCTGACTCATACGTTCGGGCAGGAGGTACCGTTGAGTCGAAAAGGTGGGCACGGAGCCGGGTGTTCTTTGTTCTCTTCACTACATCCTCGATACTCTTGAAAGCTTCCCAAGCCGCTCGTTTCCTTCTGCTCAGCTCTGGAGCTAGGTCGTTCATCATATTGATTTCCCGACCAAGATAGATATAACTGGAGCATTCAGAGAGATATTCGTTCCGTTGAGCGTGAATGGAGCATGCGAAACCAATCCGTTCTTCATGAACACCGTTTTTGCGAGATTTAGTCGAAGACTAATTTTTTCACAGGCTTTATCAAAGTCAACAAGTATCCGTTACGCCTGGCTAATGCTGGGTATGATGAGAACGATGCCATCAGCAATGCGAAGATTATGTAATTTCTAGCCATCGATTTTCACTCCCATTCCAGCGTTCACATGACGTTCTTGAAGGTGGCGGTGGCGGTAAACAGTTTTAGCGAGATGGTACGACCCCGTCTAACCCCTCTTTTAAAGACGATGTTAATATCGTTGTAGAATGATGATATTATGGTTGTGAAATTTTTATACAGCTCACGAAGAATCTTTACATAGTGAGTAGGGAGTCCCTGACTGTCCAGCGCCTCTATGACTGCAATCTCGATTGGGCCAAAGGTCTTCTTTAAATCGATAAAAGTAAAACAGAGCGGTTTCCCGTACTCTCGCGATATTTCAATTAGCTTTGTTCTCGAGTGGACGTGGTTCATCGGACTGAATTCTTTTCGAAAGCTTGTTTGCACACATGGCTGTCCTTCGTCCAGTGTTCTGTCAATCGTGTTTAGGATGAATCGAGTGAAAAGTTTGTAGACGACACACAGCAAGCAGATTGGGCGATAGTTCCCGACCTCGTGGACGTCATCCTTCAACAAAAGCACGGTTTTGCTGGTCCACCATTGAGTAGTAACCTTATATTCAGGCAGGTAACGTGTGAAGACCAGAGTGTGTTTACGAGGACTGTCCGAAGGTTCTTCAGGCTCTCTGATCTTATCCCGTCTTGACCTGGTGCTGTTCGATTTTTCACCGACGAAGTACCATGTCGGATTTCGGAAGAACCGGTGGTACGGCATATCTATCCTCCTTTATTTCATATGGTGGAAAAAGAATGTGGCTATGGCAGAGATCTGAGTAGTAGTCGTGCATGATTTTCTCTACTACCTTTCTCGACGCTGTAACTGCTCCGTCTGAGTGACTGAGTGCAATGATCTTCGTTTTGTAGTTGGTGAAGCTTCGGTGAGCTACTAACAGCTAACAACGATTTCTAGCACGAAGACTCCAGCTCTGGTACGAAACCTTAAGAATCATGTGCAGACTACGTTTTCGGAAGTTCTCCGCTTGCCTATACTTTGATAATATGTCGACTGGTTATTGCTGCCTTATGTTCACATTTAAACTCATCAAGCAAACGCACGATCTTCATGCTTTGAGAGTATTATTTAACCCGACCTAAAACCATTGCGATGTAAATTTCAAAAATTGCACTACATAGTAAATCCATAGAACAATAAGAGTAATAAATATTGCAAGGCGGATTCGTAAACTTCACGATCACAAAGTCTGCCATTATTTTTGCATCAGCCGAATAACGTAGTATTTTGACGCTTGACACCTGAACGGCCGCCCTCACTGGTTGTACGGGCCCCAGCATAATCACCATCTATCGGAGATTTGCTGGTTGTTTTTGATCCTCTGGAATCCCGAGGTCAGCCTGGCCAAAGTCTACCCAAGGTCTTCACCACCACGGGCGTTCACAGCTCTTGTGGATCAGGAGATTTGTCACCATGCGACTTTGATACCAGGACGGTGGCGGATCCTGGAAATGGTTCACACTTAGCTAGGTTTCCTGATGGAAACACCGGACTCCTCCAGCTTGGGAAACTCTGCCGGGTGGGGACGAATCCCCCCGCTGTACATCGCAGTCCGACACCCAGGAACACCTTCCAGCTACGATGAGGCGGTAAACCGTTGGGAGGAAAACGACTTTTAATGCGTTATTTTAATCTGGAACTTCTCGAAAGTCAAAATTTTCCCGGGTTGAAAAATGGATCAAAAAATCAAAAGAGGTATCTAAGCGTAACAGCTGTAAACAATAACTTTATGTTTGGTGATACCACCTTATCCTGTTGTATGAAATAATGACTCTTGAACTGCCTCCGTGTTCGATACAACAGAATCCACAAATAAAAAAAACAACAATAAGAATCCTTATTATTGGAAGTCTCAGGATACATTACTTCTAGAAATAAATTGATCTTACTATTATATTTGTCTTACAATACAATAACATACCTGTCCTTGCCATGTTGTTGCATACTCTTCATCAAGATCTTCATATGTTTTCACAATAGGTTTCGGAGACCCAGGAGGGGTTCTTGGTCCACCAGGAGGAGATTTTGTTGCTCGTCTCTTTCGACCAAGAACACCTACTGAACCATTGTCCTTTGATGAGTCATCTCTGGAATGTCAAAGACATTCATAATAAACGCTATAACGTTGTTAAGAATTTTCAACGAATAATTATGAAAACAGTAGAAATAGATCGCTCTGTGCGTCACAAATGATTTCTCACTTAGCGAAATCGACCATAATGCATCTGTCGCGGCCACCCAGCGGGAAATTTTTCATTGCCCTGCAAGCATCTGTTGCTGCATTGGTGTCAGCGAAGCGAATATATGCAAACTCCGCTCCATCCTAAATAAATATGAAATCTCAATCCCGATGAGATCACGTTGCTCTTCAATAACCACTCCAAACATACTTCATATTCGAGTTTTTCAATTGGACCATAACGATCAAACTCCTTTGCAAGTGCGTCCGCATTAGTCCACGACCCAAGGCCACCCACCCAAAGGCGACGTGAGGTCTGGATAAAATCAGAGAAATTTTTAAGAAATATTCAGATAGCAACAAAGCTACAAACTGCTTTTAATGTAACTCACTTGACTTTTTCCATAGCCAATTTTACAACGTACGGAACCTGGTCGTATTGCTCTGTCGTGTTCGCCGTGTTTTGCTTCCATTGCTTGCTCTAGTGTCTAAAAAATACTATCATCGACGAGGAGTATGATTCAAACATTTGTTACGAAAGAATACCTGAAACATGACGAAAGCATATGCTGCATCGGTATTTGCTGGAGTTTTTATGTCTATATCTTCAATTTTTCCATAGCGCTCAAAGACCTTAAAAGGACGTCAAATTTTACATATATACATACGCATATATACATGTGCATATATATGTACATGCGTACAGATATCAATGCATACATAAAGCTCTAAAAAGCTTTCGGCGTTGATCACCCGCCGAGAGATGCGCCATGCATTCGACTTCGTTAAGCATCATCATTGCAGGTGACTGGATGCATATGTGGCCTTTATAATGATTCGCTGTGGTCCACCGATGTCTCGAGTTATTGCTGCTATCTTCCCAGACAAGTTTGCTATCAACTTGCTGACCCCGGAAGGATGGAGGGCTTGATGGCTGGAGAATTGTATTGAAGAGCGCCTACGACCACTGCACTACACGCGCCCATTTGTGCATCTATATATATGTACATATACACATATTCATATATACACATGCATATACATATATTCGCACATATGTACACATGTCCATGTATACATATATATGTATACATATATATATACATACATATATACGTATATAAATCTAGTGGATCTCACCTACTTTGTTACGAATTTGCTCTCTTTCCCTTATATAAGAAATTGTGAGTCGTACAAATACTGAAGATTACTTACCCAAGGAAAGAATAATAAAGTAAGAAAAAAACCTTGCTTACTTTGCGTATCTCATATTCCCTAATATCGGAAGGCATGTTTCCAACGAAAAGTGTTCTAGTAGCATCCGCATCATCTTCCTTCAACCTCCACTGTGGAGGCTCTTTAGGGCGTGTCCTACGATCCGGTGAACGGCGTCCATTTCTTTCACTCTAAAAGTAGTTTTAGAGAAACCGTGGACTCCAGAACCTCGATTTCACGAAAATTACTCATCTAAGAAGCTACTAATAGGTATCTGAAATATATCAGAAAGTGGAAAAGAAGTACCTGAAGAGCACGGTTGAAACGGTCGGGGATATACTTTCCCTCTTGGTCACGCAAAATACCGGCAGGATCACAAAGAATGCGTCGACCTAGTGTCTTCCTCAAACGATCCATCACTGTGTATCTGAAATGTGGGTCCATCTATCAGCAGTGCTGATTTATGGGATTCTTTCTTCGGTAGACGTAAACCTTGAATAGAAGGACAATGGACCACGTTACCGTATTTTTCTAGCACAATCCCTTCGCTCGAAATTAACATAGGCCAACCTTTCGTCATCACCTGGGTTGCGCACAACTTTGATCTGAAATATATAAATGGACAGAACTACTGAAGTGGAGTGAGAAAGACTTTCGAAGTGGAGTCGAAGTAGAAGGAAACCTCAAATGGAGCGAATTTCCGAAACTCGTTGGTGAGGATTTCCTTTATCTCATCTCGCTCTAACTTGTCATCGAACCCTGATATCCGCAAATTCATGTATTCCTCCGGAGAATGACTACCAAAACGTTCCCTAGAAAAGACGAACTACGTCACTCCCAATGTAGTAAGTTACACCACAGAAAACCCAGATTAGATAACAAACTGAGGACATACCGTTCACAAAAAGTACAGACAACGAATTACACGTGATTACTGTATAGGGAAAAACTACCTATAGAAAGCTGACAAGCCATCGCTTGTAGAACGAGCCGTGGATCGTCCGCGATTGTCATCCGAGCTGTCGGATCGATATCGACTCATCAGTACTGCAGAAATGAATCAGATTCACTGGGTAACGTTAAGTAAATCGGAGAGTGCAAGTGTATGCCAACAATCAAAACCAATCAGAAAGAGCTCTCGAAATTCCAATATTCCAGTAGCGTCATCACTTCCACAGCAGCTAAACGCAGCATCGAAGAATGTCGAAAAATATAGCAATGGATACCCAGTGATGAACGATTAGTAATAAGAAAGAAATACGGAAAGAACAGCAAGCAACGAGAACATCCATCCTCGCTCGTGGCTCGATATGGACGGACATTGCCGATGGAGCGCGGTCCACTGAGCTGCGGACAACTGGTACAAGTCCACCAAACTGTCCCGACGGTTGCTTCCAGTTGAAAACTGGTATGAAGTACTTTGTAGGACGAGGACTAGAATGTCCTATTCCACCAGAATAATATAGAGCTATGACCGAGTCTATTCATTAATGAGTGTTCACCAGAAGCTCTCGCACATCCCATATTTTGGTGTGACTCCACCTAGGAGCTTCCTCTCTCGTATGAGGTGAATGTTGTCTTCTTTTCCACGTCTGTGATTCTGTTTCTTCTATATTCTCCATTTCGATGTGATTAATGCCCCACGTCTCTGCTCATCTAAGGAGTACTTGCTGTTCTCTAAGTTGCCATAAGGTTGCTGGTTGTCATTTTTGGTGGAATTTACTGGTAAAGATCTGAATCGTGTAGGTTCCGTAGGTTTTCCTCGATGTGGTGTTCCATTCCTTCTCATCTCGAAAGAGTTCCATATTTGCTGAACGCAGCAGAACTTCCTCCTATGCATCCCCCAGAAAAATGGTCCCAGACTTTCTGATGAATTCGTAACGAAGTACAATTGTATACGCAAGGACGCCGGCACATACATGGGTGTAGCTGCCTAAATCCTTGATATCTGAGTCAGTTCGAGTTTGCCTAGAGTGGGATTGGAATCCCATCCACTAAATTCACCTGTATTTGAGGATAGATAAAGTCATTCTGAGCTGTTTTTGAGTTTACTTGCTAGCTCGATATCCCTCACACAAGGGAAATTTCTGGAGTAACACTATTCGTCAAGCTTAGTTGCTCGTGTAGCTCAGTAGTTAGAGGTACCCTGCAAAACATACAGGGTCGGTCGTTTGTTCAATGAGGCGTCTCGGGCCACACGAGCCTTCTTCGGTCCTTCCGGTGCCGCCAGATTAGTACCAACCTTATCACGGAGGGACTTCGTTATATCATTGCATAAGTCGTAAAGGCATTCAATCATCAGTGCTTATTAAAGTTGAGTGCATGATGCATCCTTCAGGTGCTGATCAGAGCTAAACAGTTTATCCTTTGTGCTTCTAATATCAGTTGTCGATAAACAGTGACTAGCAACTTAGCTTCACGTTTTGTAGTGTGAAAATTGGATGAGAAGTAGGAGAAAAATTCTTCAGAAGATATAATATGCAATCGTAAGGATGCTGAGCTATGAGACTATAGGTTTAGTTTAACTGGGTCCATTGCCGGTTGGTCCCTCAGACCAATCTCATTGCGGAAGCCCCAGGTAAAGGTAATTGGGAGTTAGAAGCCCAACTGCGATTTCGAGTTTTAGTCATATCTCAGCATTCTTGTGGTTGTATTTCACATCACACTTTGGGGTGAGAAAAGAATGGGTAATACATGAATGTTAGAACATTGTGATTTCTCAGGATTTTGTCATTATAATCGGCCCTTTCATCAGAAGCTTTGCAAAAGAACTGAAAGATCAGTCCCCTTGAATTCTAGCGGAAACTCATTTCCTTTCACAACGAAATTCGGTGAAAATGGATGGAAACGACCCATCGTTTGCGTAGTTCCTTTTTTTGGTGAGTTAATCGACGAATTCTCACAACGGTTTACCGCGTCATTGTGCCTCGGTGTTCCTGGGTGTCGGGAAAATTATTCCCACGTCCCCATCCGGAAACCAATCTAGGAGTAAACCAGTGGCAAATCTCCCTTTGATCCACAAGGCGGTGACTGCCTATGCTGGTGAAGACCTGAGGAAAGCTTCGGCTAGGCTAACTTCAGGGCTGCAAGGAACCACAATAGCTAAACGAGCAAATGTTCCGCCTCAGTACGCCGCACATTGGGTGGTCCTTTCTACGATCTAGGTGGTGAGACAACCGGTGGCTACCAGATCTCGGATTCAATAGGACGTCCTTGCAAACGGACAAAACCAGCACGCCCACGGCATGCCATAAAGACTGCTTGCGTTGCACCTGTAGTCTGTTCGGAAGAATTTCTTCAAACGCCGACTACTATTATGTTGTTTTTGAGGATGCTGATCGCATAAAATTCCATGTGATCGCGCTACAAAAGGGAAAGGCAGGAAGACCGACGTAAACCAATTAGATGACGGACTTCTTGTCATTCGTGGAGGGAAATTTCCGTTGCGAAATGTCGGAGGCGTTGGCTTTGTCGTATTTCCCGCCTAACCACCCCATACGAAACTATATCAGCGCGCTTGTCCGCAGCACGCTGTTCCATGAGAATTCATTTCTCGAGAAGTGAGAAAGTTGCCGATGAACATCGGAGTCTCCTGACTTCAGACTCACATGGAGTCCGACCGTATCCTCACGAACAGAAAGTGCCTCTTTGACGATCTGATCACCACCTTCTAGGTGCAAAGACTCTATTCAGTTATAATCTGGAAAAGAACTATCATCATCCAAGAATAGCGAAACAATTCGTGTATGACGAGGATCACCTGTAGCACCCGTACTGCAATTGACCATCGTGTGACTTGAGCGACACTAGTATTCTCTCATTTCTCCTTGGCGGGTCCTGCTCGCTCTAGGGACTCATTGGGCATCTTACCTTTCTTCTAAGGTTTTGAGAAGAACTCTGACCATCTGCTCCGCAGCCTTCCTACAGGTTATTTGGCATCTTAGGGAATCTATTCACTAACTGTACTAGTTGGTGCAATGGAGTATAGAACTTCGAGTGTTTTAGGTACAGAATAATTGCTAACTCAAAGCAGAATGCTCGACTCTCTATGAGTTCGTCACGCGGGACGTTTTGACATAGGCACGGAGAACAATCTCAAGCACTGGTTACAAGTGTTTATAGCAATAACAACAATAGAAAATGTACAATCTGACGATGGCTAGTTGCGGGGACGAATGAAATTGAGACGAGAATTAGTGAAACACTTGAATGAAGCTGGGCAAAATAATGGTACACTGGAGCTGGGACACTGAGGTAGTGAAGCACCGGAATGCGGAGACACTTGAGTAGTGGAGCTGGAACTGGGCCCTCGGTACTGGCTTGATGACTAATAGTGCTCCTTACATTCCCTTAGTAATGAGTGGGGCTTCTAGATAGGGAGCTATGGACAGTGCTGAGAGAGAGGTTCTAAAACTTTCTCAGCTAACTCCCACGACCGACTTTCTATTAACCTCGGCAGTGATCAAGTAATTCTTCGTATTTTTGTTGAGCAAACACGAGGTGTTATTATTCTTTATTCACGAATAGGCTGACGTTTCGGCGGATTTCGCCTTCCTCAGAGCCTGGAAAGGTCAAGTTGATAGCAATCTACTCGGCCAGACGCCTCCATAATCAAACAAAGAAACTCTAAACCAAAATTTCAATCACATTGAACACAGCTTTGCACACTCACCGCTTTCTATGAGGTTTCCACTAAGTATGTCACGTAGAGACCTACCGCACAGAAATCACATGGAAGCATAATGTGCCCCTCCCATCAGAATAGCAGTCTTATATACTGCCCTATATCACGCGTGATAATGAGGCATTCTTCCCTGCGGTTCATTTTCGGATTTCTGGAGTTAATTCAGAATGCCTCGAGAGCTTTTCGCGCCTGTGTTTTTGATTGGCGTGCGAGGATCGTGACAGATACTTCAAAGTCGTCCCCGTTATGTCTCTGGGTCCTATGCGTGCCTAGCGTAGTATTTGGTCTATGCTTGCCGGCTAGATGTTCTTTTATGCGGACACAGAGAGGTCTGCCCGTTTCTCCAATGTATTCGTCACCGCACGTCTTACAGGAGATCAGATAAACTATACCTTAGCTCATGCAATCACTGTCTCTACCAAGGGCAAATTATGCAATTTTGAGTTGCACATAGACGGTCATATAGGCGGTTACGAACTAGCTGGTGCTTAAGATTACTCGGTGGTATTTCAACTACGCTTACCGAATGCTCTAAGCCCGCCCTTCTTAAGCAGCGTTTTATAGCAGTACTTATATCATTTGAGATGAAGGGTAGGATAAACGGGACCCTTCTATCGCTAGAGATGTTTGGAGGCCTAGGATTTCCCTACACCTATCCTGAGCTACAGTTTCGTAGCCATTAGAAATGGCTATTTGCCGTGCCAAGTTCCGGGACTCCTCTCTCTGCTCTCTTCCCGTGCACACGTTGGTTGCTGTTCGAAGCATGTTTCTTATAAGCGCCCTTTTCGTGTGAGAGGGAGTGGTAATGAACCAAGATGTTTTTACTACTTGGCTTTCGGTACCACTTTGTAATGTAGCCGTTTTCTGACAGGTTAATTTGTACGTTCAGGAATGGAAGCCATTTTTCTTTCGGCTTTTCTCGGGTGAACTTGATATAATCTGACTGTTCATTTAACAACTCGAAACATTTGTCCATTTCCTCTTGTGTTGAGCAAAGGACAAAGCAGTCGTCTACATACCTACAGTAGAGTAGCGACCCGAGATCAGTCACCGGTGCTTCCACCTTAGACATAAATGCAATGGCAAGGCTTGGAGCCAGTCGTTGTCCCATTGCCAACCCTCTTATTTGAGCGTAGTACTTTCCGGACCATCTGAAGATTGAGCAGCTCAGGCATTCTTTTAAGAGTGCCATCAGGTGCTCTATCTTGAAGCCATACATGTTTATTTCTCCTTCGTGTTGTGCAAGGAGTTCGAATATGGCTTGCATTGCGGAGTCATTCGACACGTTTGTGTAAAGGGCGGTAACGTCGAAGGACTCCATCACGCACGCGCTGTTGGGCTGCACAGTACGTAGACGA